CATGGCACGAGAAAAAGAATCTAACGAAACAAGAGTGTGCAATCCGAGATACGCTGCCAAAACAAAAATCCAAGGTAAATTCCAAAATGCTAGAAAAGAAGCTCTCGAGTTGAATTAGGAGTCAGAGGCTCGTAATCAGCGAGGTGCTGGGCAATGCAGGATAGAGTAGTGCAGACCCGAGTGAAAAATCTCTACGCTGCTTGCAGATCAACTTGTGCTTCTATCGGCGCACGAGTGGGATCAGTGGCGATCAAGGCCGCTTCCTCATGTCGCATTTTTTCAGCTCCTGTCACGAGAGTCGGCATTCGAGCAGTGAGTGCAGCTCGTTTCATGTTAATTTTCTTAGTTTCTTTAGCCACTTGCAAAGCGGGTTCCACGACTTTCCTGCGTTCCACTAGGTCTTTGCCCACTGTGCGGAGGACTACTATGTCGGCAACACTAAGTGGTGGAATGTTAACGCTCAAGGTTTCCAGAGTCTTACAAGCAGAGCCGGGCCATACTATGGTTTGGCTACTCATGGAGGTCACCAGAGGAATGCTAGGACATTGATCCGTCATCTTCAATGCTTCTTTAACTCGGTGTCGAAGTTCAGCCATGGCGAAGATGATGTGGGGAGGGAGGTCGTAGTAGTCTCTAATGAGGCAAAAAATTCCATCGCAGTATTGAAGTCATTCTCGGTATCAAAATCTTCGGTGTCCTGCAGCAAAAGGAAGCAAGGGTGTGAGTAGGAGGATAGCCAAAAGATGGCAGGGTAGTAAAAGAAAGTGTGAGCAAAGCTAACCTCGATGCCGGGAGCTGTGCGAAGAGATGGAGGGGGGCGAGTAAATGGATGACGGCTCTCAATAACTGCAATAATCGAAGTTTTAAGAGGGTGGAGACCACGTACATAAGTAATGTAGGGAGGTGACATATGAATGTCACAGTGATCATAAAGAGGAGTTGGAGGACGAGGGTTTTACCTGCTCGCCGTTTCAAGAGAGTATTGGATGCTAGCGCGGTTGAGCCATCATCGTGGTCAGGAGTAAACCATGCGAGGATATCAGCTAGCGCTTGCCGAAAATGCGTGATGCTATTGAATGCCATGCATCCTTGAATTGAGGCGAGACTTTGTTCACCACGTTTTTATGAGGAGGAAAGTAGTGTGCTGATTCTTGGTGACCTTGTACCTCAACAATCCGTCTAGCGGTAAGCTTCGAGGGGCGGTTGTGGAATTTTGGAAAATTCGAAAACGAGGGAGGTAACATAGGCCATGCCTGAACAAGGCAAAATTGCCGAGCGACAAGTTAAGGGTTGTAAGCCTCAATGCTGAGTACCTCTGAGCCTTCAGGGGAAAAGAGGATGTCCCGAGTTGTTAGGTAACGTTTTCGCTCCTGGATGAACTCACGGTAATTGGCAGCAGCGGGATCACCTTGTGGTGGTGGCTCGTCAAAAGTGAGTTTGAATGAAGCAGGGCCGAATATCCGTTCCGCAAAAGGAGTGAAGCTGGGGATCTCTCGGAACTCATAAAAGAAGGTAAAATAATTAGTAAAATCCTCTTTACGCGGGGCCGCTTTAGCTAAATAATGGCCATATGCGAGCATGGTGGTATCTTGAACTGCCGTTTGAAGAGCTGGTTGAGGCCGTGAGTCGCAGGGAAATATGCATGCACCCCAAGTTGTAGTAGCCATAAGGGTCCAGCACTGAGGATGCCACTTTCGTCTGTAGCTTCCTTGATACCATTCATGATGGTATACATACCACGATAGAGGTGGCAAAGCACGATTTCATCAAGATTGGTACATTTGCCGGTGACGATTGCAAAGGTGGTATGTGCATCCATGTTGGGTTGTTGGGTGAAAATCACGAATCGACCAAACTAGTAATGAAGAAAGGCCACCCGCTCGCTGTCGGATACGGGTTCACCTGGAATGATCTCCGCGTTGCTGTTGTAGAGTGATTGGTAAGATCGGTCAAAAGCTATCAATGTAGCTGGATGCAAGGCTCTCCTTGATTTCACACGCGGCTTTGATTTGCCGGTTAGGGTCACTACGTCGAGCAGGGTGATCGTCATCGACCCCAATGGGTGTACGAAACAATTCGATTCCGTTGAACATAAGCAGATGGCGGCTTTGAACAGCTCGGAATTCGGTTTTGGTGGCTCCGAACATAGAGAAAGAAACCGATCGAGGCCTAATGCTGCCATTGAGATACGGTTAATGCATCGTTGGCCAACCGGCCATGCCAACTTTTGAAGTCGGGATCCGAGATGGCCAACGCATGGAGTGCTCGGGTCTTCTGTTTAAAGAATGGGCTGTTAATGGGGAGATGAAAAAAGCTGAGATTGTAAATAGGAAAAACGTCCAATAGCTCCATGATGACAGTGGTCCTGTCACGAATGAGTGGACCAAGCCAGCCCTCCTCATTGTCATCTTTCGATATTATCTCGAGAGTGAAGTCAGCATTGGCCATGTTTCACAGAAAGTCTCGTCGTTCCCCCGGAGATAACGGGAGGAGAAACGCGACAAGGCTGCATTCATAAAGAAGTTAGTTGGGTTAGTGATGCAGCGACGACTATTCACCAGACCAAGAATAGGCGTATAAAACGTTAGAGATAACATTAACTGGGAAGGAACAAGGCTTCCATACCAATGTGAAGTCAGGACTACGAAACTTAGTCGGCGATCGAGGGAAATCCTTGCAATGACATGATGGTGACTTCAGCAGCGTAGAAATCTGAGCTGCGGTCTTTTTCTCAGTGAATCGTTGTTGGTTGAAGTTTTTTCTCAGGTAGGTTTAGGGTTTGGTATGAGTGATCTGTTATTGGGGATTGCCATGGTGTAGGAAGAAGGAAGTAGTGTCCTTTTTGCTTTGGGATCACGTCGTTGGTAGGGAATAGGAAAAGGAGTATACCCGCGTTGCTAGGAATGAAGAGGGTTGCCGCAACAAAGTTGTTTCGAGGGAGGAGAGTTGATAGATAAAAAATATAAAACCGTAGAAATTTTAGCATTAAGCAAGGCAGCTTTGGGCCCAAACAAATGGTTGAGGGCCGCTGCAGTGTTACTCCGCCAGGTGTAGAGGTGTTTCCTCCAAAATCAATGCCGCGAGACTGGCCGCAATGGATATATAAAAAAAATTGAAAAAAAAAACAGCGGCCTAGCAACATTGATGCTTGTCCCAGCCTTGAGAAAGAAATTAGGTCGTTTAATCCTGGCCAAGCAAGATTACAATGCTCTTGTGTTTGTTGGCCGGAAAAAATATATATATTAATTGTGAGGCAGTACTGTTTTGGCTTAGGCAACATTGGGGTTTAGGTTCAGAGGGCTGCTCATTATGGTATGTGGGTGCTTTTCGGTTCTTTTGCCCAATATGGAGGAGTTGTCTCGGCGAACCTCATAATCAGCATTGCTCAAGTTTGGGTGAATGTCGTGGAGGTGCTTGCCGCACAATTGTTGGCGCAAAATAGTAGATAATAAAATATATATGTATGTCAAAGCGCCACCGTTTGGTCCAAAGCAATATTGAGTATTTGTGAAGGAAAAGATAAAGAATCACTAGAATAGGCTAAAACAGCGTTGCGGCTACCACAACAACTCTGCGTTGATAGTGGCCAAAACAGCGTCGTTTTGGCCCTTATATCGACAGCTGAGAAATTTAAGAAGTCAAAAATGATTTGGACTAAACAGCAATGCTGAGCTGTGTTGGGAAGAAGCCGCACAATACTGTTGGTTTTGCTTAAATATATGTGTATTCTAAGCAATGATGTTATGGGCCAAACAACATTGCGAGCGCGGTGCTGCCACATTGCTGTTACACCAGGAGAAAAATCATCGGATAAAATATATATACATATAAAATTATGGCCAAGGCAGCGTTGCAAGAGGCGCTAAACTATCGGCAGTACTGCAGTAGTGGCAATAGGTTTAGAGACCTCGTATTGGTTTCTTTCTTCGAAAGAGACAAGTAGAAAGGAAATAAAATTGTCTTTTCAAACCACTCTGTTGGCTAAGTCTAGCCCAACAATTTCTGAAGGTAATTATTCTAAAAGCCAAACGTGATGGTTTATTCCAGTCAATGGTGTATATAGCTAAATAATTATGAAACGCCACCGTTTGGACGAAAAGCATCGTAGCGACGTTGTGTTAGGGGTTTAGTTCGACCAGAACAACAGTGGGTTACTAAAAAAATCAATGTTGGCGGAGCGAATTTTTTTGGCATCAATGACGAACTAAAATAGAGAAAATTCCGATTGTTCAAAAAAGTATAAGTGGTCCGAGAGAAAAAGAAACATTTGTGGCCCCACGAGCGTGCCAAAGACAAAATAAATTCAGTTTGAAAGAAATAAAGGCGGAAAGTAAAAGTAACGAGCTACTAGCCGTTGAGATGCTTGGCAATATAAGCCAGTTCCGCCCGCAATATATCAAGACCGGTCCTTGCTGCTTGCCGAAGTTGAACGCCCTGCGCCTTCTTAATCTCAATCTTGTCATCAACCAAGGTTGTTTCCTGCGCCGCGAGTGTTTGAGTGATGAACCCCTAGATGAGGTTTACTGATCAGAATAGCACAACTAAGGAATCCAAGAGTTCCCTCGAGCAAGAACTCCACAAACCGAGTATGGTTTGAATATGTGTTGGTGGAAGTTTCGTGCAATTCTCGCGAAGGGAGAAAGGCTCGTAAACTATAGGTAGAAGCTCAGCCACGAACAGCGTGATTAGCTGTGTAGAAATCTTTCTAAGAAACTCTCAAACTCATGAAGCAACAAGCTTTGTGAACCAAACTCAAGTTTGTATTCAATTCTATGAAATCTCAAAATTACAATGAATCAAAGCTACTTAAATAGACCTAGCCAATCCTACTACTCTTAGAGAAGTCCTAAACAAATCACAATTGGAAAAGGAAAACAAAACCAACAATGAAAAGGAATTAAACACAAAACAACAAAGGAATCCTAATCCGATAAGGATTCGGATTGCCTGGTTTCCAAAGACAGAAACTCAGCTCGATATGATCTTTGGAGCTTTCGTTCGAGGCCTTCCATTCTTCATTCCAGTCATCCAATGCCATGTCGTTGTAGTAGAAGAAACCTACTTTCATGCTGCACAAAGACCAAGCTTCGACTCTCCCCCATATGCTTCAAATACTCCTCCACAGAAGGGTTCTCAAACTGGTTCTGACACAGCCAATTTTTGGCAGAATTCTAGTTTCAACATAGCTTTTTGAGATGCTTTAACAATGACCCTCCTGCCTGTTTCCTAAGCTTTTTGAGACGCTTTAACAATGACCCTCCTGCACAAAGATATCAGCCCCCCCTCCCCCCCTCATAAAAAAGCTTTGCCCTCAAAGCTTTGGCCCTCTTTACCTCGAAATTCTTCCCAAATAGGGTCGTAGTAAGGTTGCTTATCTTTCATGTTCTGAAGAACCCAGGCAGTGTTTGTTGAAGAGGAAATTGGGGATTTTTGATTCAGACATCCACTGGGCAATCCAAGGTCACCAATGGCTTCGTCTTGGATAGAATTCAAGTCTTGGGTGGTCGTCGCGTCTCGATTCATTGTCTGTATCACCGAATTGTTGCCATTTTTTTTTCCCGCCATGGCTGCAGTTCAAATTCACAAAACCCAGGAACTTCAATCGTGACTTGGGCGTTTTTGGTGTAGAGCTCTCCGGGTCGCATTGAATAAGTTGAGAGTTTCCTGGGGTTGCCTTGAATGATTCTGCAGTCACCAATCGAGTCGAATCATCACCAATCGATTCAACCAATAGACTCAATTTTTGCTCGAAGTTGGTAAATTTCAGAGCAGATTCTACTCTAATTGGATTCGGGGGTCTGGGTTGATTCGGTCCAATCCATTCGATGGTAGACCTTCCATGAACTCCATGGAATGTGCTGACGTCTTCCCCTGGTGTTGAATCTTCTTGAGGAGCTCTCCCTAATTCTCCCTCCCTCCTGCTCTGTTTTGGTGAAGGCTTGACGGGGCGACGTCGTCGCGGTGCTCTTGGTCGTTTATACCCAGTAAGCATAAAACGCTGAGTGAAGAGAGTGGACAAACTGGATGCCTCGTCTTGCTTCCCCTTGGTTCGTCAACGGCTAGCCTCAAGTTGTCGTCGATCTGCTCGAACCTCCTCCGGTGACAGTGGCTTTAAAAGAACACTTTTCCCATTGTGACGAACTTTGTAGCAATTCGTGTCTCCATAGTGGCAAACACCGCGATCGAACTGCCATGGCCTTCCGAGAAGTAAGTGAGTAGCTTGCATTGGCGCGACATCAAATTCATGCTCATCTGACTCACTTCTATTGTCACTCCAGGAATTGGCCAAGTGAAACCACTTCCTAAAGCGTAGTATAGCGGGTTTAGGTTTAATTATCAACCCGGGTCCTAGATTTGATGACTACTCAGTGAATTCTTGTTATCTAGCAATGAAACTTTAATGCAAGTCTAAACTAGTAAACTAACAAAGCAACTAAATGGTTCTATTCAGGTTAAGAGAGGTCACCCGGATATGGTTCCCCCTAGACTGCAGTTAAGCCGGATTGTAATTACCAAGTTCAGTTTCTATGATAGTTATACTGCGGAAGGTTCTTAAACAGCCTGAAGTCTCGACTAAAGGTCTTCAGACCCTCTCAATCTGAGTCTCTAGCGGGCGACTAACCTCCACCGGAGTAAACAGATCATCTAGTTCAGCTCGGGTGGAGTCTTAGTAAGAATATCCCCTCCTGGGCATAGAGACTCAATCACCCTCTGGCTATCTGGGGAGAGAGCACTGTAGAAGTTCTCCACTATGAATGCATCACTAAAGCCATGATGGGGACACTGCCAGAAATATCCCATGTACCGCTCCTATGCATCACGAAGTGACTCATCTGGCTCTTGGCGGAAGTGAGTGATCTCCCGCTGGATCTCTGTAGTCTTCGATGCCGGATAGTACCTGTGCACAAATTTGTCAGCCAGATCGTCCCAAGAGGTGATGGACAATGGGGGCTGGGTCTCCAACCACCTCTTAGCATTCCCCGCCAGAGAATGGGGGAAGAGATGAAGGCGGATTGCATCATCCGGGACACCATTCAGCTTGAACCCGTTCGTCAGCTGCAGAAAACGGGAAAGATGCACCCTGGCCTCCTCATCCTTCAAGCCATGGAACTGGATAGAGGATGTAATGACCTGAATCCAGCATGGCTTGATCTCAAAGTTATTTGCTGGAATAGGCGAGTAGAGGATGACCGGGCGGATGTCAGCAATCCGAGGAGTGTAGGAGTACTCCAAGGTGGGACCCGGCTTCGGTGGATGATGAACCCCATGATCTTGGGGTATGGGGTTGTTCCCCAGGACCTGATTCACCGGGGGAACCTGCTGCGGATTCCCCTGGTGTTGATTGTAGTCTCCGTCCATCCCGTGCTCTTCTTCAGAATCGCTACTCAGGTGGCCGTCTATGCGCTCTTTCGTAGCCAGTCTAGCTCGCTGCTGTCTCCTGAGCTGGCGACAGGTGCGATCAATCTTTGGATTCAACGGCAGTAAACCTCCCGACTGGCTACGGGTCATGCACTACCTGCACACACTCAAGCAAGCAAACCCGTGAAGCCACAAGTGGGACAAAGCAGACAAAGCGAAAAGAAAAGCTAAATTAATAGAAATCACTTTTCTTCAACAACCTAGCCGTCTCCGGCAACGACACCAAAAACTTGACTCACTTCTACTTTCACTCCAGGAATTGGCCAAGTGAAACCACTTCCTAAAGCGTAGTATAGCGGGTTTGGGTTTAAATGTCAACCCGGGTCCTAGATTTGATGACTAATGTGAATTCTTGTTATCTAGCAATGAAACTTTAATGCCAGTCTAAACTACCAAACAAACAAAGCAAGCAAACTTTTGTATTCAGGTTAAGAGAGGTCACCCGGATATGGTTCCCCCTAGACTGCAGTTAAGCCAGATTGTAATTACCAAGTTCAGTTTCTATGATAGTTATACCGCGGAAGGTTCTTAAACAGCCTAAAGTCTCGACTAAAGGTCTTCAGACCCTCTCAATCTGAGTCTCTAGCGGGCGACTGACCTCCACCGGAGTAAACAGATTGAGGCTCTACGAACAAAACCTCCACTACCGAAGTGAATTCGGTACAGAATAGTGAGTTGGCTCCTCGACTAAAGTCACCAACTCCCTACCTTCAATCAAGGATGCTCTATCAACCTAGGCAGATATTCTCATTCTAGGTTAAAGCAGAAACAACAGGAATTTGATCAGGATTCATGCCATTCAATCAATCAAACCTCATTTGAATATAATCAAATCATAGAATCAGTACTTGGGTTCATACAATGAAACCTAACATACAAATCTAGGGTTCTCCATACCCAGATGAATGGGAGAACTACTCCATGGATAAAGAAGCAAAAGCAGAATTAGACGCGGAATTCATACTGTGAAGGATGGATTCCTGCTCCTGGACCTTGATCGGCACTTCTCGAAGCTCAAACTGGCCTCCAATGGTGATGAAGATTAAGCAAGGGCACTTGGAGACTCTTGTTCGTCGTTTTCTCTCTCTAGGAATCGCTCTGTCTCTCTAAAACTCGAATCCCCTCGACTTGTGGCTGAAATCTCCCTAAAAGGGCATCACTGGGCAAAGCACGGTCGAGGGCACGGCCGTGCTTTGCCTCAGCCCGCCCGTGTTTTGGCAAGGTTTAATTACACGACCAGACTGTCGGGAGAAACACGGCCGTGCTTTTGGGTGGACACGGCCGTGCTTTTACTTAGCCCTGACCGTGTTTTCAGCTCGAGTTTGCCAAACTCAAATAAGCTCTCGGCAGTAAAAGCACGGTCTCAGAACACGGCCGTGTTCTGATTTAGGTGTGCCCGTGTTTTGGCTCCAGCTCCTCCGAATGACTTCCGAATGCCCCGAAACTCGTGCTTAGCCTTTCCTTTGACGCCTGAGACCTGAAATATGACAAAATAGCACAACCCGGCGTAAAATAGGCAAAAAATACACGACTATGCCCCTCAAACAGATAAGAACTAGGGGTGCAAATATGTGCAATTACATCGTTATCAAATTCCCCCACACTTAACCGTTTGCTTGTCCCCAAGCAAACCTAACTCAAACCAATGCAACTCTCCAGACCTCTATAGCAACAAACAACCCAGATCGTAGGTAGAGGACTTCCTAGATCATTTAGCAGCTTACGAGGTCAACCGACGCACAAGTCATCTCATAGCTTCTTCGGCGAGAGCACTAGTATCGAGTCGGCATCATGGCAAATAGTGAGCAGAGGACAAATGAATCATGGACGAATGGACTCTCAAAAACAAAAGATCATGGACTCACCTTTTTAAGGTGCTCTATTTTCTTCTTGAAGATGGTTGGAACCCCTTTTCTTTTTGTTTTGCTTGTTTTCAGTTATTTTTTTCTTTTGTTTTTTTTCAAGGGTCCCAACCTGCTTTCAGAAGATGGGGGCTCCCACCTAGCAAAGGTTTTGCGGGAGCCCGACTCTTACCGGCCATGCCAGGAGCGGATATCTCGAGCCTCGTGCGGGGGAAAGACATGTAAGGGGGCTGGAGGTAGTAGGTGGAAATTGGGAACGGATTCCCGTCTCCCCTTACACACTTTCGCCCTATTCGCACGGGAGACGTTATTTTGAAGCACATTTTCGAGCACCTGTTAAACTCAAAACATGAAACAAGAGTCCATGATAGGTAGAGAGTCCACAGCACCACACAATTCAAGGGTTCTAAGATCACTAATTCACTCAATCAACCAACACAATATGAAGAAGAAATGAGACTTCTTAAATGCATCAACATCCTCCATAGTGCTACACTACCTCCCTAGGTTGCATATTACCATAGAGACTGTCAATTCAAAGCATACTGAGCAGGCAATTGCACGGAAACACGTACTTGGAGCCCTCAAATTTAAATTTTTTGGAAAGTGGACTAGGCTCCAAGCACACAAACAGATCTAATGTAGTCAAAAGATAAAAATCCCCCACACTTAAGATCAACATTGCCCTCAATGGAGAAGAGGAAAGGGAAAGGGGAACGATGTTACCGGTATGCACGGACTGCAGGAGACGGGAAGCAGACCAGTCGGAGTGAAGTGGACTGGATAGAGGACCAGTCAAGACAAGCACAGCTAAAGGAAACCAAAGAGCTCAAACACAATATGTTAGGTCCAATGGTCAGTCCAATAATACCTCATTCAAAACAAAAGAAAACAAACCAAAACCAAACCGGTTTACAATCCGACACAAAACACAAGAAAGAAAGCCAAACCGTGGTGGGGTTGCCTCCCCACAAGCGCTTCTTTACCATCTTTTAGCTGGACGCCCATGGTGGATACTCAGGGAGGTGAAGGAACAGGTGCCTCCAATAGCGAATCCACGTCGCTCTTGAGGTACAGCTTCAAGTTGTGGCCATGCACCCGACGGATGCGACCACCATCATCGGTCAGCTCGACCTGGCCATCTGGCAAGATGCAGGCGAGTGAGTACCCTGACGGCCAGGGTGGTCGTGGTGTAGGAGGTGGGACCAGCTCATAGTGGTCTCCACCCTTCTTCCGTGCAGGCTTAGCAACTTGCTGCTTCGGCCGCCACTCCTCCTTGATCTTTTTGTTCGGAGGCGAGACTGGATGGAGTGGCGGCGAAGGAATGATAGGAGGGTCCTGCAAAATAAGAGGTGCAGAAAGATGCACGACAGGCTCGTGTACCTGATCAGAAATGGCATGCACAGGTGTGACATCAATCATAGCACAGTGATTGAATTCAGTCACAGAGAAAGTAGCCTATTCATTCCCAGCACGCAGGATTAGTTTACCATCATGCACATCAATAAGTGCCTTGGCGGTGGCAAGAAATGATCTCCCCAGAATCAAAGGCACATCCACATCCTCATGTATATCAAAAATAACAAAATTAGCAGGATATGTGAAAGCACCGACACTGACAAGTAGATCATCTATGATTCCCCTAGGATGCACAATGGAACGATAAGCTAGCAGAATGCTCATCCTAGTAGGGCTAAGTTCACCTAGGTCTAGCTTTTTGTACAACTTATATGGCATGACGTTTATGCTAGCGCCTAGGTCCGCCAAGGACTTGCCTACATGCATGCTGCCAATAGTAAGAGGGATAGTAAACACTGTGGAGAGATCCCCAAGTTTCTTCTTGTTGGTGAGGAGATCTTTCATGAACTTCGCGTACTTGGGCATCTTCGACAGTGCCTCCACAAACGGTATGCTGATGTTGAGCTGCTTCAACATTGCCATAAAATTGGCAAACTCAGTCTCCAACTTGTCTTTGTGTAGGCGAGTGGGGAAGGGAAGCTGAGGTACATGCTCCTTAACCACTGGTTGTGGCTTGGGAGCAGGGGCTTCCTTCTCCACCCGCACTTCTGCATCGTCGGCTGGAAGTGCTGAAGCAGGTAGTGGGTCCTCCTGCCTGGCCGGGACAGGATCAGCAGATATGGTCTTACCGCTCCTGGTAAAAATGGCATCCAACTGCTGGTGCTGGTGAGGATCACGAGGATTCGGAATAGTGGTGGCAGGCAGAGTCCCCGGTGCCCTGATAGTGTTTTGGCGGGCCAAGATACCCACCTGGTGCTGCAGATCATGCAAGATGGCACCTTGGTTCCTCTGGCCTGCCTCCAGTGAGGCTACGCTCTGGTCCAACCTCGTGATAGTTGCCTGAGTGCTAGTCATGAGTGAAGCTAGAATATTTTCTAGCTTTGTCAACCGGTCATCTGGGGCTGGAGCTGCTGCTGGCTCGGCAAACTGGCGCTGGGGTTGTTGGAATGGTTGCCCCTGCCTAGGCTGGTAGGGCTGTTGCTGTGGGGCTGGCCCCTGTTGAGCCTGGAAGGGGTGCCTCTGCTGAAAGCCACCAGCTGGTGCTGGGAAACCTGGTGGCTTAGTGGTGTTGCTGCTCCAGGCGAAATTGGGATGCTGGCGCCACCCCTCATTATATGTGTTGCTGTACGGGTCGAGGCGCCGAGCATTGGCGATGAAGTCCAATTGTTCTTGGGGAGTAGTAGACTCCCTCATAGCCTGGCAGTCTTCCACTAAGTGCTTCAATGTCTGCACTAACTCAGCTACCTGCTGCTCGAGCCCGGATCTGGTCTCCATGGCGTGCACACCACGGTCCAGAGAATGTCTACCTCTGCTGCTCTGCCCACAAGAATGATCTCTGGCAGCCAAGGTATTGATCATCTGGTTCAGCTCGGGTGGAGTCTTAGTAAGAATATCCCCTCCTGGCCATAGAGACTCAATCACGCTCTGGCTGTCCGGAGAGAGAGCACTATAGAAGTTCCCCACTGTGAATGCATCACTAAAGCCATGATGGGGACACTGCCAGAAATATCCCATGTATTGCTCCCATGCATCACGAAGTGACTTGTCTGGCTCTTGGCGGAAGTGAGTGATCTCCCGCTGGATCTCTGTAGTCTTCGATGCCGGATAGTACCTGTGCACGAATTTGTCAGCCAGATCGTCCCAAGAGGTGATGGACAATGGGGGCTGGGTCTCCAACCACCTCTTAGCATTACCCGCCAGAGAATGGGGGAAAAGGTGAAGGCAGATTGCATCATCGGGGACACCATTCAGCTTGAACCCGTTCGTCAGCTGCAGAAAACGGGAAAGATGCACCCTGGCCTCCTCATCCTTCAAGCCATGGAACTGGATAGAAGATGTATTGAGCTAAATCCAGCATGGCTTGATCTCGAAGTTGTTTGCTGGAATAGCCGGGTAGAGGATGACGGGGCGGATGTCAGCAATCCGAGGAGTGTAGTAGTACTCCAAGGTGGGACCCGGCGGTGGTGGATGATGAACCCCATGATCCTGGGGTATGGGGTTGTTCCCCAGGACCTGATTCACCGGGGGAGCCTGCTGAGGATTCCCCTGGTGTTGATTGTACTCTCCGTCCATCCTGTACTCTTCCTCAGAATTGCTGCTCAGGTGGCCGTCTATGCGCTCTTCCGTAGCCAGTCTAGCTCGCTGTTGTCTCCTGAGTTGGCGACAGGTGCGGTCAATCTCTGGATTCAACGGCAGTAAACCTCCCGACTGGCTACGGGTCATGCACTACCTGCACACATTCAAGCAAGCAAACCCGTGAAGGCTCAAGTGGGACAAAGCAGACAAAGCGAATAGAAAAGCTAAATTAACAGAAATCACTTTTCTTCAACAACCTAGCCGTCCCTGGCAACGGCGCCAAAAACTTGACTCACTTCTACTGTCACTCCAGGAATTGGCCAAGTGAAACCACTTCCTAAAGCGTAGTATAGCGGGTTTGGGTTTAAATGTCAACCCGGGTCCTAGATTTGATGACTACTCGGTGAATTCTTGTTATCTAGCAATGAAACTTTAATGCCAGTCTAAACTACCAAACAAACAAAGCAAGCAAACTATTGTATTCAGGTTAAGAGAGGTCACCCGGATATGGTTCCCCCTAGACTGCAGTTAAGCCGGATTGTAATTACTAAGTTCAGTTTCTATGATAGTTATACTGCGGAAGGTTCTTAAACAGCCTGAAGTCTCGACTAAAGGTCTTCAGACCCTCTCAATCTGAGTCTCTAGTGGGCGACTAACCTCCACCGGAGTAAACAGATTGAGGCCCTACGAACAAAACCTCCACTACCGAAGTGAATTCGGTACAGAATAGTGAGTTGGCTCCTCGACTAAAGTCACCAACTCCCTACCTTCAATCAAGGATGCTCTATCAACCTAGGCAGATATTCTCATTCTAGGTTAAAGCAGAAACAACAGGAATTTGATCAGGATTCATGCCATTCAATCAATCAAACCTCAATTGAATATAATCAAATCATAGAATCAGTACTTGGGTTCATACAATGAAACCTAACATACAAATCTAGGGTTCTCCATACCCAGATGAATGGGAGAACTACTCCAAGGAGAAAGAAGCAAAAGCAGAATCAGACGCGGAATTCATACCGTGAAGGATGGATTCCTGCTCCTGGACGTTGATCGGCACTTCTCCAAGCTCAAACTGGCCTCCAATGGTGATGAAGATCAAGCTAGGGCACTTGGAGACTCTTCTTCGTCGCTTTATCTCTCTAGGAATCGCTCTATCTCTCTAAAACTCGAATCCCCTCGACTTGTGGCTGAAATCTGCTTAAAAGGGCATCACTGGGCAAAGCACGGTCGAGGGCACGGCCGTGCTTTGCCTCAGCCCGCCCGTGTTTTGGCAAGGTTTAATTACACGGCCAGACTGTCGGGAGAAACACGGCCGTGCTTTTGGGTGGACACGACCATGCTTTTACTCAACCCTGCCCGTGTTTTCAGCTCGAGTTTGCCAAACTCAAATCAGCTCTCGGCAGTAAAAGCACGGTCTCAGAACACGGCCGTGTTCCGATTTAGGTGTGCCCGTGTTTTGGCTCCAGCTCCACCGAATGACTTCGGAATGCCCCGAAACTCGTGCTTAGCCTTTCCTTTGACGCCTGGGACCTGAAATATGACAAAATAGCACAACCCGGCGTAAAACAGGCCAAAAATACACGACTATGCCCCTCAAACGGATAAGAACTAGGGGTGCAAATATGTGCAATTACATCGTTATCAGGCACCATAGTCGTTAAGCCAGTGCAAGATGTATGGGTCGGGGTGTCTCGTCGTGTGCAGCCCTAGCTTGTCTACTGCCACTTGAATAACGACGTTGGCACAGCTGCCTCCATCCACGACCACGAACAAAACCTTTCTGGCGACCAAACAACGAGAATGAAACAAATTCTCTCTTTGACAGGTATCAGACTGAACATCCATAGTTAGAACTCGTCGACTAACGGTCATGAGCTTTCCTGGGGCAGGTTCTGCTTCAAGCTTCTCGTCGACGTCACTGTCATCTGAATTTTGTTCGTCGTCGATGAGATATTGTTCGTCCCTAATGATTAACGTCTTCAGATTGGGACATTGGTTTGCTTTTTGCCCTCTACCATGGCATTTATAGCATTGGATGCCTACAGAGCGCTCAGTAAGTATTGGATTTGTGTTCCCGGGCACCAATTTGCCAGGTTCATGTTGTGTCTGCTGGGAATTAGAGTCCAAATTTGACTCTACGGCCGCCTTGTTTGCCGGTGTGAACTTCCTCGATGATCTCTGCTGCTTTTCAACCTTAATTGCGAGGTGAAGGGATTCCTCCAGGTCGACAAAAGATCGAAAATCCACTTCCTGTCGAATCTCACGGTTTAAACCATGAAGAAATCGCGCCACCGTTGCTTCTCGATCTTCCCTAACATCGGCCCGCATCATTAGCAATTCAAGTTCTCGGAAGTACTCCTCCACACTCCTTGACCTTTGTTTAATCCCCTGCAGAGATTCATGGAGTTTGCGCTGGTAATAGGCAAGTATGAACCTATCTCGCATAATCCCACGTATCTCGTCCCAGGTCGAGAGCGGATTCTGATTATTTCGTCGCCGGCGAAGCTGCAGCTGCTCCCACCACTAGGCGGCGTAATCCAAGAAATCATAAGTAGCCATAGCTACTTTCTGGCCTTTAGTAAACTGTCCACATTGGAAGAAAAGCACAATCTTCCTTTCCCATTCGAGATATGTCGAGGGATTCATTGTCCCCTGAAACAGTGGTACTGATAGCTTGATGCCCGGAGGGATTGCCACGAACAGACTCGTAAACCATAGGTAGAAGCTCAGCCACGAACAACGTGATTAGCTGACCGATACAAGCACTCAATCTGCGTAGAAATCCTTCTAAGCAACTCTCAAACTCACGAAACAACAAGCTTTGTGAACCAAACTCAAATTTGTATTAAATTCTATGAAATCTCAAAATTACAATGAATCAAAGCTACTTAAATAGATCTAGCAAATCCTACTACTCTTAGAGAAGTCCTAAACAAATTACAATTAGAAAAGAAAATCAAAACCAACAATGAAAAGGAATTAAACACAAAATAGCAAAGGAATCCTAATCCGATAAGGATTCAGATTGCTTGGTTTCCAAAGACAGAAACTCAGCTTTGTTACGATCTTTCGATCTTTTATTTGAGGCCTTCCATTCTTCATTCCAGTCATCCAATGCCATGTCGTTGTAGTAGAAGAAACCTACTTTCATGCTGCACAAAGATCCAGCCTCGACTCTCCCCCATGTGCTTCGATTACTCCTCCAAAGTAGGGTTCTCAAACTGGTTCTGACACTTAGCCAATTTTTGACAGAATTCCAGTTTCAACATAGCTTTTTGACACGCTTTAACAATGACCCTCCTACCTGTTTCTTGAGCTCCAAAATACTGTATCTTGTAAAGAAACTCACTAGCTGAAATGGATAAAACACTTGGGAAAATTTTGGGTTTCATTTCATAGCTTGAGATGGATTTTGATTCAATTCATTCTGGTTTGTAGATTGAGCCAAATGGGATCATATCATTGAGTTTCAACAGTGAGAGCAGTAATGGAGGCCTGAATCGTTGTGCGTTGGGAGACATCTTCAACCAGTTCTTCTTTCTTGGCATGCACATCTTTCTCGAGTTTGTTCAATACGGCCTTCATCGCAGCAATTTTGAATTTATCTGACAGAATTTCTTCTTCACGAGTTGCGCACTGATGAGATGGAGCTTCGTATTGACAGGACAGATCCTTGAAGCGCGTTGTGTTAGCAACGAGATGCGCCCTAATGGATTGGAGGGTCGTTCCCCTTTCGGCACTGTTTTTTTCCAGTTCGAGGGCGTCGTGAGCACACTTCATGTATTTTTGTGCAAGTTGTTGAGATCGCTTGGCAGTGGTCGTCTCTTCTAAACCAAGTCCAGGAAAGATTTTGGAATCACCCATTCCTCTCAATACGGTAAAAGCTAATTCAAGCTCGTTTGGCTTTGGAGGGTCAACCGCTTCTTCTAAGGATAGGGAGAGAAATTGAGTGATCTTGCCAATGGCGTCTTTTATGGCATCGTATCGTGGATCAAGGCGGACCTCCATGGATAGTGGAGTTTGAGATTTAGCCATAGAAGCGAAGAATTGCTCTGCTGTCTCAAGATCCGGTAAGGCCTGCAAGACAAGAGAAAAAATGGTAAAAAATACCAAGGTTAAAAAAATTCAGTATAGAGGAAAAATGTGTAGCTAGAGTTACCGTCACTACTGTGTTCTGTGAAGCAACACCGATGGTAGATGGAGCGGATCAGGTAAGGTCGGAGAAAGGAGATGACGGAGCTATTGTTGTACTAGTTCGAAGTGGCGGGAGGAAGGTGCCATTGTTGTACTAGTGCGAACTGGCTCGAGCAAAGAGCATGTCTCTAGCCACTATCCAGCGAGCCCATTCTTCCACATACCAATTGTAATCGTCGAGGGAAGCATCTTCTCCTGTTGGTTTTTGGCTGAAAGCAAGTTTGAATTATGGGGCGGCTTTGGCATAGTAATGGCCGTAGGACAGGATCCTAGCCTCGAAGGCCATGTCACCAGGTGCTGTCAACGAGCTTCGTAAGGCGGGGAAGTAAGCATATAACCACAGTTGCACTAGCCAAAGGGGGCCAGTGCCGATGACTTCCTTCTTAGCAGTGGCCTTTTTGATTTGTTTGACGGTTAGGTACAATCCCCAGTAAAAATGACACAGTACGATTTCAGCAAGTTTGTAGCATCGTCCAACAGAAATCTCAGAGGTAGTCTCGACATCTTGCACGAGTTTGCTGCCGCCACGACAAAGAATGAATTTATTTAGCCAGTAATGAATGAAGTATGCTCGCTCTTTGTCTATGACCTGTGCCGCCGGGTCGGCCGGGGAATTAGTGTTGTAAATGGAGCGATAGGAGGGATCAACATGACTGGGGTTGTTGGGGTTGAAAGGAGTTCTAGCGACAGCAGGAGGTCCACTTCTGGAGAGGCCAGTTAGTGAGCAAGATCAAGCAGGGTGATAGTAATGGTCCCCGGTGGGAATATAAAGCTGTTAGATTCGGAAGACCAGAAGCATATGGCAGCCTTGAATAGATCTGCATCTGGTTGAGGGGGATTGGCACAGAGAGACAAGAAGCGATCTATGCATGCATCCCTCCATTGAGCGGCAGTGGTTTCATCAGCAAGCAGGCGAGAATACCATCTCACAAAGTCCTTATCGAAGAGAACCCATGAAGATAGAGGTCGTTTCGGTTTCTGTTGAGTAACGTATGGGTTTTCGGTAGGTGAGCAGTGAAGGAGTAGCCGAGCGTGAGCAGTGGGGTAAATATTCATATTTGTCATGGTTGAATCGCCGAGATTGGTTTGGGGGTATGGGCAGCCAAACATGTAATGATTAAGAGTTGATGGGTGGCATTTTGGTTTAAAGAGAGACAAAGCAAGTTGGATACATGGCTGTTCATGCATGGATCGTGCATGGAATGGACAAGGAAAGCATAAGAGATAGCTCTACGCCGCACAAGGGATCCATGGAGGAGATAAGGAACGGGCATCGTTTGAACGAAAAGGTACGAGTAATCTACGTTGTTCATAGGCTAAGTTGCATGACATATACACATCACATACAGGCTTGAATAGTCGAGAAAGAATAAGAGATAGTGGCGTAAAAAATTCAGTACCTTATTTGAGGAGGTATTCGACCGATAGGAGCTATGTTAGGGTCTTGATGGATTGTTGATAAAGTTTGAGTTGCGCGCTCGAAGAAGAAATAGATGGCAGGCCGGCAAGCTTAGCTGTAATTCAACGATGATGAATGGGAATTATGGAGATAGCGGAGCTGTTTATTTATAGAGAGTAAGTGTCCAAACCTATATGGAATAGGACTGCTTTGTGTCTATTCATTAAGGTTCCTTGCTAAAGGAGGAAAAGGAGTTTGGCCGGGTGCGATTTATGTTTGGTCGCACTGTCGCAGCATTGCAAGATTAAAAGAAATAGTGGCCACAACGTTGTTTTAGCTATTGAAAATATATATATATATATACTTTTTGTCGCAGCGTTGTAGATTATGAACGGTGACATTGGCTGAAGCTATGCTGCGAGCGCAACATTGCAAGGGAGAAAGAAAGTCCTATTTTATCCAAAGAATGTTGCCGCTGCCACAACTTGGCGTGATAGGGATTTATGAGATGGCCAAGCTTGTTTTGAAAAAATCATATTGGGCCAAGGACAAGGAAAACTATTTATTCAAGCACATCCGATTTGGCTTAAAACAGCCCTGCAGATCCCACATGTTTACTTGGGGCAAAAGAAGAAAAACAATTCCGTGGTACGGGCCGCAGCGTTGAGAGGAGGCTTGCAGCATTGGGTCTCTCTTCTTTATCAATCTTGTGTATGGACCGGAGAGAGAGAAAAATGCAGACCCGAGGCCTCAACAACGTTGCCGAAAAGAAAAAAGGGGTCAAAACACGGATGCTTTCTGGCAAAGCCTATCTTAGGTTCACAGTGTTGGTTCCCTTTGCAAAGATGTCGTTGGTATTAGAAAAAAAACAATGTTGCGGCTAGTTTGGGATTCTAACAGCTCTGTTGGCGATTGAAAAAAAAAATGGAAACAGTGTCGTTTAGTATAGAATAGCGCAGAGCTGCAGCAATTGTAAACACATGTGTTTTAAAAATAACAGGGCTGCTGAGCAGGAGTGAGAAGGAAAATAACAGGGTTATTGGTGGAGGAAAAAACTTCGTTTAATTAGAGAAGAGGGGGGCCAAACATGTGGGTCGCTTTTTACTTAAACCATAACGACGTTGTTGGAGGTCTGACACGCTACGACCCAACAACTAACAATGGCCAAGTGTAACCAATGAAAGGGACTGCAGTATAGTGGCACAAGTAATAAATATCGAATCCACGGGTCTCTAGAGTTACTATTACTCAGCTTCAGTTCATTATCTAGCAAACTAGATTAAGGATTGATTTATAAACTACTCTACTGACTACTCTACTAATTACAAGTTGGGAACTCACTCAGGTATGATTCCCCCTAGCTCCTCAATTAGGTCCAAGTTGCAATTACTTTTGGTTGATCTACTGTTGATTAAACTGCGGAAGATCCTAAATTAGCTTGGAATCTCTTAAGCTGGCCAAGCCCTCTTAGACAGAATACCCGGCAGGCAACTAGCCTTCACCGGGGTAGACTGCTAAGGCGATTCATACAGATCTCCACTACTGGAATGAATTCCAGTACAAAGCCGTGAATTGATTGACTCTCGCACAACCAATTCACCACTATCAATCAAGGAAGCTCTCTTAACCTAATCAGATTCTATCTATCATAGGTTAAAGCAGAAATCAAGAGAAGATGATCAGGCTTCAATTGACTCTATAAATCATGCCTCAATCGATTATAATCAAACAATATAGCATCCAAAACTTCGTACAAGAAAGATCCCAACACATGGAACTAGGGTTCCTCAAAACCTAAGTGAAGGGAAGTTACACCATAGAGTAGAGAGAGACTGCAGAAATCTGATCTAGATCTTCAATCTCAATCTCCAAGCTTGATTCCCGAGCTCCAATGGTGAAGAAATCCTCCAAAATAGCTCCAAGAATGTTCCCAAGTCGCTCTCTCTCTCTAGGGTTCGTCCCTTGGGTGTTTGGGAACCAAAAACCCAGCTCTCCCCTTTCCTTTGGCTGAAAATCGAGTTTTAAATAGAAATTTCCGATCACGCGGCTAGGCCACACGGACGTGTGGCTTTCCCAGCTGCCCGTGTGAAGGCTCGGTGATTTCCACACGGCCACAACCCACACGGCCGTGTGGAATTCCAGGATGCCCGTGTGGCTTGCTCAGCCTCCGTTTAATGCTTCGTTTCTCCCTCGTCCGGACTCCGAATCAGTCCTCGTTTGATCCCAAACGCTCGTAGTCTCGTCCTATTTCTTTTTATGACAATCTTGCATGATTCTTTGTCCATAAAGTGAGGTAGAAATCCATTCTTATTCACGTCATGCCCGAGTTTCTTCTCCCGAATTGTCAATTGATCTCTGATTGATTTGAAACTTGCGCCTATGCTTCACTTTATGTGCTAGGACCTGAAATGTGACAAAGGAACACAACCTAGCATAAAATAGGACAAAGACGCAATAATTCAAGCTCAAACAATCAAGAAACAAAGGGGAAAACATGTGCAAATACCGAGTCATCAAATCCCCCCACACTTAACTGTTTGCTTGTCCCCAAGCAAACCTAACTCAAACCAATGCAGCTCTCCAGACCTCTATAGCAACAAACAACCCCGATCGTTGGTAGAGGATTTCCTAGATCATATAGCAGCTTACGAGGTCAACTAGTCTTCTAAGACGTCCCCTATCTCTCTCAATGCGAGTACTAGACTCAAGCCAGGAACATGAGAAGAAGTAGAAGTAAGACAGTCAGTTCATGGACAAAGGGATTCATACCATTCACAACCAAGGACTCGTTGTACCGGGGTTGTCTTTCACTTCATTTCACTGTTGGAACCCCTTTTTGTACTTTCATTTACATTTCTTTTTCTCTTTTTTTCTTCACTCACTTGACAGGGGTTCCAACTGCAGTCTTTTGCACGGTCGACCCTTATTAGTCGAGCAAGAGCAATTTTTGTACATCTAGCGCTCGCCAGAGTACTTCTTTTAACTCCTTTTCCTCAACTCGTGTGGAGGGTCAATGAAATCAAGGGGGGTCGGAAGCTCTATCCGTGCCCTTAAGAACACATCCTCAAGTAGGCAAACCGTTCAACGGGTGAAAATTTTACTTGTACTAGAGACAGCTTAGCTTCACCTTGTAGGAGTACCCCACTAAGGTTCACTAAAATCTCTTCCAAAACCCGATTTTGTGCAATGAACGGTGCCACACACGTTGGGCTTACCCCATGTTTAAGATTTCAATGATTTCGACATGGAGGACCAACTGCTTCCCATTTTTCATATGAGCACCCTGTTCGATACACGAGTCCATAACACAATCCAAACAGAGTCACCATTACCACATGAATTCAACGGTCTTAGCTCCACTAATTCACAAAATCAATTGGCACAACAGAGAGCTAGATAGAAAAAATCTTATACTTCAACATCCTCCATAGTGCTACACTAC